GATGGGTAGGGGGTGGAGTTGGGTGCGGAGAGAGTGGGAAACTTTACTTTAAGGAACAGTTGGTACCCAGTACAGAAATAGTCACAAAACTTCAGGAACACGCTAGAACATGTCAACTGTGAGAAAGTTCTAGGAGGGGATGGGGTTGAGGGCGATGTGGGGGAGGAGGGGAGGGGATGGGTAGGGGCTGGAGTTGGGTGCGGAGAGAGTGGGAAATTAGGTAAGTTCTACAAATTACCTGTCAAACGGATTACAACAAATCCTATAAGAAAGTTCTAGGAGGTACCAGTTAAACTAATTATGACATATCCGCTAGGAGAGTTCTTGAAGGTACCTGTCAAACAGATTTAGAACATGTCTTCTTCTAGAAAAGTTTTACAAATTATCTGTCCTCTGGAAAAGTTCTACAAGTTACCTATCTTCTAAGAAAGTTCTACAAGTACAAGTTACCTATCCTCAAAGAAAGTTCTAATGGGGAAAGTTCTACAAGTCACCTGTCCCCCAGGAAAGTTCCACAAGTTACCTGTCCTCTAGGAAAGTTCTACAAGTTACCGGAAAGTTCTACAAGTTACCTGTCCTCTAGGAAAGTTCTACAAGTTACCTGTCCTCTACAAAAGTTCTACAAGTTACCGGAAAGTTCTACAAGTTACCTGTCAAAATTTCCTCTCTCAGTGTCGCCCTTGGTGATGACGTAGACAAAGTGGGAGGTGAGGACAAAGGGCACGCGCTCTCGCTTCACGTGGAACTTGCTCTTAAAGTTGCCCAGGAAGTGGCCAAAGTCGATGTGGAACATCTGAGGAAGTCAGACGGTTGCCAGAGAATCAGAATGCAGATGGATGCCACAGAATCAGAAGAATGATGGCCGCAATAGAATCAGAAGAATGACGGTCGCAATAGATTCAGAGGGCAGATGGTCGCAATAGAATCAGAAGGCAGATGGTGGCAATGGAATCAGAAGGATGACAGTGGCAATAGAATATGAGGGATGACGGTGGCAATAGAATCAGAGGGATGACGGTGGCAATATAATCAGAGGGATGACGGTGGCAATAGAATCAGAGGGATGACGGTGGCAGTAGAATCAGAGGGATGACGGTGGCAATAGAATCAGAAGGATGACGGTGGCAATAGAATCAGAGGGATGATGGTGGCAATAGAATCAGAAGGATGACGGTGGCAATAGAATCAGAAGGATGATGGTGGCAATAGAGAAGGATGACGGTGGCAATAGAATCAGAAGGATGATGGTGGCAATAGAGAAGGATGACGGTGGCAATAGAATCAGAAGAATGACGGCGGCAATAGAACCAGAAGGATGACAGAGGCAATAGAATCAGAAAGATGATGGAGGCAATAGAGAAGGATGACGGTGGCAATAGAATCAGAAGAATGACGGTGGCAATAGAATCAGAAGGATGTCGACAGAATCAGAAGGCAGACGGTGGAAATAGAATCAGAAGGATGATGGCAGGAATAGAATCAGAAGAGAACAGAAGATCCACTGCTTAGAGTAGGATTCCCCGATATTCCATTCTGAAAAGTTTGTTCATTTGTTTGAGAAAAAGGGAAGCACACCGACACAATGAAGGTCATTATTTAGTGCTGGAAAAAGGTAAGAAACATATACAGAAACAACAGGGGGAAAGTACAGAAATAAGACCTACCAGTGGCACCCTCCAACCAACCAACCACCTGCCATTTTGAAAAAAAATGTTGTTGTTGTTGTTGTTATTGTGTCTGTTATTAGTGTTATCATGATGTTGTTGTTGTTATTATGTCTGTTATCATGATGTTATTGTTATTGTTGTTGTTGTGTCTGTTATCATGATGTTGTTGTTGTTGTTGTGTTTGTTATCATGATGTTGTTGTTGTTATTGTGTCTGTTATCATGATGTTGTTGTTGTTGTTGTGTTTGTTATCATGATGTTGTTGTAGTTATTGTTGTGTCTGTTACCATGATGTTATTGTTGTGTCTGTTATCATGATGTTATTGTCGTTATTGTTGTGTCTGTTACCATGATGTTATTGTCATTATTGTTATCACGATGTAGTTGGGTCTGTAATCATGATGTTAATGTTGTTGTTGCTGTTATCTTGATGTTGTTGTGTCTGTAATCATGATGTTGTCGTTGTTGTTGTGTCTGTTATCATCATGTTGTTGTTGTTTTGATGTCCATTATCATGATGTTGTTTTTGTCTTACCTGACCGGATGACTTCATCACGATGTTGTCGTGTCTGTAATCATGATGTTATTGTTGTTATTGTTGTTGTTATTATCATGATGTAACTGTTGTTGCTGCTGCCATGACTTACCTGACCGGAAGACTTCATCATGATGTTGTCGTTGTGGCGGTCGCCCACACCGATGACGTACGTGGCCACGCAGTAGCCGGCACAGGACATCAGGAACTCTTCCACCGCCGCGTCCAGACTGACCAAACGCACGAGTGAACGCACGCATGAGTGATGGGAGATGAGGAGACAAGAGCCACAGGGGGAAACAGGGAAGAGAAACAAGGACAGGGTTAATGAATAATAACAGTAATAATAATATTCATAATGATAATAATCATCATGATAATAAAAACAATAATATAATAATAACAATGATATAATAATGATAATAATAATAATAATAATAATAATAATAATAATAATAATAATAATAATAATAATAATAATATGAGTATTATTTTATGTACTGACAGGAGACAAGTGAAAGTTCTACTCTAGTTGTAGTTTTAGCTTTATTAAATGTTTTACGGCACTTGCAATACAATTAGGTCATATAGGTGTCAAAGATTAGAAATAGAGGTGTTACAAGAGAGTAACGAACACCAAAAAAAAAAAAAAAAAAAGGAGGAGAGATAAGGGCGACAGATGTTTGAAAGTTATGAAAGGAAAGAAGGAGCGCACCACACCAGAGCACCAGCCAACCACCCACAGTTTTACTATATGTCCTTACGTTGGAAAAAAAGAACTTAAAAAAAATATTTCCCCCCTTCTTTTCTTTGTAAAAAAAACCCCAAAGAACCCCCCCCCAACCCCTAAGCCGCTAGAATTCTCCGACTCACTGCTCGGGAGACTTGTGTTTCATCTTGAGCCACTCAAACAGCGCCCGTTTGTCGAAGGCCGTCTTCTTGAACCAGCGCTGGATGTTGGCCATGGTGTCTGCGGGCGAGACCACCTCGATCATGCCCTGCTCCAGGTCTGTGGCCATACACATGTACGGGTTCATTCTGTGGTGAGAGGTTAAAGGTCAAAGGTAGTCATACAAATGTACAGGTTCATTCTGTGGTCAGAGGTCAAAGGTTAAAGGTCAAAGGTGGCCATACACGGGTACGGATTCATTCTGTGGTCAACAGGTGAAAGGTTCATCCTGTGGTGAGAGGTTAAAGGTTAAAGGTCAAAGGTAGCCATACAGGTGAAAGGTTCATCCTGTGGTGAGAGGTTAAAGGTTAAAGGTCAAAGGTAGCCATACACGTGTACGGGTTCATTCTGTAGTCAGAGGTCAAAGGTTTAAGGTCAAAGGTGGCCATACACATGTACGGGTTCATTCTGTGGTCAAGACGTCAAAGGTTTAAGGTCAAAGGTGGCCATACACATGTATGGGTTCATTCTGTGGTCAACAGGTTAAAGGTTCAAGGTCAAAGGTGGCCATACACATGTATGGGTTCATTCTGTGGTCAACAGGTTAAAGGTTCAAGGTCAAAGGTGGCCATACACATGTATGGGTTCATTCTGAGGTCAGAGGTTAAGGGTTTAAGGTCAAAGGTGGCCACAAAGCACAGATATTGGTTCATTCTGTGGTCAAAGGTTCAAGCTTCAAGGTCAAAGGAAGCCGCTGAGGTCAACAGGTCAAAGGTTAACGGTCATACATGTGTATGGGTTCTTCCTCTGCACAACAGGTTAATAAAGGTCAATGATGGCCATACAACACGACATGCATCGGTTCATTCTGTGCACAACAGGTCAAAGGTTAAAGGTAGAAGTCGGCCATACATCTCTTCTGCCTGTCTGTCTGTCTCCCTCCAGTGTGCAATTTTTTGTTTTTCAAAGCCTGGCAGAGGTATACAAAGATAAACTTCTCTCTCTCTCTCTCTCTCTCTCTCTATATATATATATATATATATTTATATATAGGAGGAGGAGGAGGAGGAGGAGGGGGAGGAGGAGGAGGAAGAGGAGGAGGAGGAGGAGGAGAGGAAGTGTACAAACCTGAAGTCCAGCCCCTCCGCCTGCCACAAGTTGTCCATGACTTGTAAGATCTGCAAGGTCAGCATATCCTGGCGCAGATCTGGAAAGGAAGGAGGTGGGGGGGGAGACACATGAGAATAGATTACACACAAATGTACACACATCACCCTCATACACACACACACACACATGTACACACACATACATGTGTACACACACACATCATCTTCACAAAGTCAGTATATCCTGGTGCAGATCTGAGGGGACATGTAGGGACAGAGTACATACACATGTCGAT